AGTGAAGTTGGAAGGGGCATTCAAATCCAGTCCCCTGCTCAGTGTAGGAATACAATCAAAGCATATCTGCAGGGTGATTGTCTACATTTTTCTTGAGTGTCTGCAGTGTTGGAGCACTCACCAACTCCCAAGGTAACTGGTTGCACTGTCACACTGCTCTAACAGTTAAGATTTTTTTCCTGATATTCAACCGAAATCTGGCTTCCTTTAACTTGAGTCCATTGTTGCGTGTCCTGCACTCTGGCATAATCGAGAATAGGCTCCTCTTTTTTGCCCTTTTTAAAGACAGAGACAGCATACTATATAAGAAACCCTTTTCTGAAACCTTTGTTAGAAACCTTTGTTAGAAAGCTGGAGAAGTTATGAAAAAGTATTGAGGCAACTGATTTCCCCTCTGACCCAGGTAGTCAACATAAAAATTTTCCCAGAAAATCTTAAAAGGAAAGTGAAACTGTTAGTAAAGAATAAAGGAATTATGAGGGTTAAGGACTGGATGGAAAAGATACAAAATAAAAAGCAAATAAGAGAGGTGTTGGGAAACATATTCCAACATGGTTAAACATACAGTGGTGCCTCGCTTAACGACGTTAATTCGTTCCAGCAAAATCGCTGTAGAGCGAAAACGTCAAACGAAATAAAGAAACCCATTGAAACGCATTGAAAACCGTTCAGAGCATTCCAATGGGCTGAATACCTGCTCGTCCAGCAAAGATCCTCCATACGGTGGCCATTTTCAGTGCCTGTAAAGTGAGGAATCCATCCTAGAAAACAGCAGGGGGCCATTTTCTTCAGCCATTGGCCATTTTGAAACCCGACGATCAGCTATTTGCTGATCGTTGTAAAGCGAAAATCGGTTCCCAAAACAGGGAACCAATCATTGCACAGCGAAAAAACCCCATTTAAAACATGGGGAGTGTCTTATACAGGGAAAATATGGTAATTGCAAAGAATTGGAAAAGTGATGATCAGATTAATATGGATAGAGAAACGTAGAACATGGCAATTAATGATAAATTGACCTGTGATATGAAAATCAAAAGAGTAACATTAACAAAATAATGCATTCCATATTTGTCTAAAATCATTTCTGGAACATGTCTAGACTAAAGGGAAGGGGTACGCACCAAAAGAAGAATCAATGTATTTCTGGAGAGATATGGGGAGATACGCTGTTTCCCTGAAAATAAGACCTAACCTGAAAATAAATCCTAATATAATCTTTTAGGATGCTTGTCATATAAGCCCTACCCCCAAAATAAGCCCCAGTTAAGTGAAACCCCACCCTCTACCATTGTGCAACACTGTATTTCTATGAGAATTACTATTGTTTTTGCAAAGGAAACAAATGTCTAAAGAAGCAGATCCTTTGTTTGTATTTCTACTTGTTCCCTTGTACCTGCTGTAGTAGCAGATTGATTCCATTGTAACTAATTTACTTAGGTATGGTTTTGCTAGATCATAAAAGTGAAAATCCTGGGGGTAATGAGCAGACATTGGAGGAAGCCATTTGAGAGCTCAGAAGGCAAGAAGGCAGGGAGAAAGGTCGCTTTGCGATGATTGGTACCCTGTTTTGCTTACTGATCATCGCAAAGCGATGATTTTTTAAACAGCTGATCGGCGGTTCCAAAATGGCCACCGGGTTAAAAAAATGGCCACCCACTGTTTTCTGGGACGGATTCCTCGCTTACCGGGCAGCGAAAATGGCCCCTGTATGGAGGATTTTCGCTTAAAGGTGAGTCTGAAGCACATAGGAACGCATTGAAGGGGCTTCAGTGCATTCCTATGGGCTTTTTAATATCGCATAGCGATGAAATCGCTTTGCAGCGATTTTTGCTGCACCAATTATCGTTGCTATGCGAGGCACCACTGTACACAACAGTGGCTTCTGTGGCTGGATTATCTGTTTGCTGAAAATCTAGAAAACAACAAGATTGGCTTTTTCACCCACCCCTCCACAGAACTGGAAGATAACCAACCTGCTAATGTTTTTCTATGTCCTCAGCCTCGGGTGTTCTAAAATGTCATTGAGTCTAGAAGCATATCTAGACCAGGAACGCCGTCACCTAGAAATAAATCTCATTGCTTAGAGTGGTACTTCACTCAGGGTTTAAGAAATGTATTCTCGAAGGCTTTCACGGCTGGGATCCGATGGTTGTTGTGGGTTTTCCGGGCTGTTTGGCCGTGTTCTTAAGGTTTTTCTTCCTAACTTTTCACCAGTCTCTGTGGCCGGCATCTTCAGAGGACAGGAGTCAGAACTCTGTCTGCGCTCTGGTGCAGTTTGTTGGATAGTTGAGTATTTAGGTGTAAGAAATCTTTTCCTGATTAGTTCTTGGCCTGATCTTCCATGTTGCCAGTGAAGGGGGGGGACAGGCTCTTTTGAGAGTGTGTTACGCTTGAGACCCACCCTTACGTGGTAGAAGGTGAGGGAACCTTTGCCTTCTTTGAAGGTACACAATTGGAGGCTTGCATCACAGTGTCTGGAATGGGTCAGAAAGTTAGCAATTGTCTGTTTCGAGTTGCAGTGTGACATAAGGGACTTCCGCAACCTGACCTTTCAGATTTCCTCTTACTGCTTACAGGTAGCGGAGAAAGGTAAGGGGCCCTCATACATCCTATGCTGCCACAAAGGGGAAACATACTTGCTTATGGTGAGCTGTTTGGTGGGAAAGTGAACCCTTTGAGGTGCTTCAAAATTGCCAGGCATATGACTGAGTTATGCATCGCTTTTTGCCAAGGCAGGCCTGAAAATTGTCTTGTTTTCAGTTTCAGATTTTAAGCTCAAAAATTTAATGCAACTTGCTAGGCACGTTGGACACCTTACTACTCCCTATACCACACCATGGCTGGAGTGCAATGTGTTCCAGCAAAAATAGTGCACATCTTTATCAATTTGGTGCATCCTGCTAGTTTGGTACACAGCCTGTGTAGATTCAATAATACTTTTAATTCAAATAATGTATGATTTCCTTCCTTTCGAATCAAGGGGGTAATGTCAGCGTATATAAATTTTTTGGGGGGTAAAAGGTAAAAAAGTTCCCTGACCCCTGTGCTAGATCATTGTAAAGTGCTGGTGAACAAATGGGATCAGATACCAGTTTGCCATACTTGCAGTTTAGGAGTTTCCATTTCTAAGACTCCCCTCCCTCCAGTATTTGAGTTTTTCTTATCAATGTCCACATTCGAATGTCAGCTTACTATGAAAGGTATTTTTGCATGGTAATGTTATTTCTGTTATTTTATACTGACCTTGCTTTCAGGCTTGACTGGAGAACTGGCTGCATGTTTCATCAGGGGTTTTAATATATTGCTATTCAGACCTCATTTTAAAGCACTGAGTATGTTTTCAGGGTTACATTTTTCACATTCCCCTTAATTGTTACAGCACTCAACATATGCAAGATTTCAAATCTTAACAAGGGGAATGACAAGTGGGGCCTTACAGGGTTCTGCCCTGGTTTCAGTGTTGTCGGACATCTTTATAAATGATTCTGTGATGACGTGGAGACTAATCAAATTTGCAGATGACACCAAACCGGAAAAGAGTAGCTCATACTTCAGAAAACAGAATAAGGATTCAAAATGGCCTAAACAGATTGGACCACTGGGGCAAAGCAAAATGAGTTTCAACTGGGGAAAGATAAAGTTCTCTGTAAGCACCAGAGGCCAAATGTAAGATGGGTGACAGCTGGCTTAGCAGTGGTACATATAAAAAAGATAAGCTTAGTAGACCATTAGCAGATCATGAGTCAGCAGTGTGATGCAGCAGCACTGCCCCAACCTCCATGCAATCCTAAACTCCATCAATAGAAGTCCAGTTTCCAGATCAAGTGATGTGTATCTCTATTCTGCCTTGGTCAGACCTCATCTTGGTCAGACCAGGTTAGTAAGGGATCCGATAATACAGCCGTATGAGGAAGAATTGAGGGAGCTGAGTAAGTTTAGTCTATGCTTCTCATTTTTAGAACTCTGTCATGTGGATGACGGGGCAAGCTTCTTTTCTCCAGCCCAAATTAATAACAGAAAGGGGAGTTTTGACTAAGCTTTAGGAAGGACGTTTGACAGTAAGAGTTGTTTGACAGTGGAACAGACTATTTCCAAAGGAAATTGAGTCTCCTATATATGAGATTTGTAAACAGAGGTTGGATGGCCAGCTGCCCTCAGTGCTTTAGCTGTGGATTTTCTGCTTCAGCAGGGGGTTGAAATAATGACTTTGGGGTCCCTTCCAGTTTCATGGCTGTGTGAGTCTAAAGTTATATTAACAGTGTAAACAAAAATCTGTGGAAATACTGGATTGGTGCCAGATTTAGTGATACAGAACTATGCTGACAAAAGTGAAATTCCATGAATTCTCTGTACTCCGTGGAAGTATTGAATATGATGAAATAGGGTGGGTGGCTTCTTGAGTACTGCCAAATAAGGACAGATTCTGGAACCAACCCATTCGTAAAATTGGTGAAACCAAGTAAGTGAATTTGGGTGTGTGAGATTCTTCTTACACACAAATTGCACTTTTCAGTCATTATGTAACAGCGTTAACCTTTTACAGTGACACTGGCCAAGTGCATGATATTTTTAATAGGCTTTAATCTGAATCTGGTTTGTTTGTATAAAGATGTGTATCTGAAAATACTGCTGTACAGTACAGCAAAGAATATGAAGAGTTTGAGTTGTTTTGATGTATTTACACTTAACTGAGGATGTTGTCATAAAAGCCATCTTATGAAGTTTTGACTTGTCTCTTGCATTGGAACAGTTTAAATATTTATAAAAATACATGAAGTATGCCAGTGAGTGAAAACCATGAATTAATAAAAGTAAAATAGTTAAATTCCAAGTTAAGGTTAATGCTGTGCAATTCAGCATACAGTATTTCTTATGTTTTATATAGTAAAGGCTATAATTCAGTTTTAGATGTTGTTTCCTTTAAGCAGTATGTTCAACATATAAATAAACAGCTAATTGTACACAAGCAGTAGCTTAACAGATCTTTTATCTCCACAGATCTGACAGACCAAGACATCATGGGAGCTTTTTTAGATAAGCCAAAGATGGAGAAGCATAATGCCCAGGGGCAAGGCAATGGACTACGTTATGGACTAAGTAGCATGCAAGGTTGGCGTGTTGAGATGGAAGATGCACATACAGCTGTAATTGGCTTACCAAATGGACTTGATGGATGGTCTTTTTTTGCTGTATACGATGGACATGCTGGATCCCAAGTTGCCAAATACTGCTGTGAGCATTTATTAGAACACATCACAAGCAATCATGATTTTAAAGGGCGTGGTACTTCACCATCTGTGGAAAGTGTAAAGACTGGAATCAGAACAGGTTTTCTTCAGATTGATGAACAAATGAGGCTACTTTCAGAGAAGAAGCATGGTGCGGACAGAAGCGGGTCAACGGCTGTGGGAGTCCTGATTTCTCCTCAACACATTTACTTTATAAACTGTGGGGACTCTAGAGGTTTACTTTGTAGAAACAGGAAGGTTTATTTTTTCACACAAGATCACAAACCAAATAATCCACTGGAGAAGGAACGTATACAGAATGCAGGTGGCTCAGTAATGATTCAGCGTGTGAATGGATCTCTTGCAGTGTCTAGGGCACTCGGGGACTTTGATTACAAATGTGTTCATGGGAAAGGCCCTACAGAGCAGCTTGTCTCTCCTGAGCCTGAAGTTTATGAAATAGAAAGATCAGAAGAAGATGATCAGTTCATCATACTTGCTTGTGATGGAATCTGGGATGTTATGGGAAACGAAGAGCTGTGTGAATTTGTCAGATCTAGGCTTGAAGTCACTGATGACCTTGAAAGAGTTTGCAATGAGGTAGTTGACACCTGTTTGTACAAGGTAGGCAGGCATTCTAAAAGAAATGTATATATTTATTTGATAGAAGCATGGGCATAAAATCTACATATGATTTTAATGTTACTGTTTATGTGTTTTGGAATGTTGAAAGAGGTAACTAGTCAACACCAGCATGGTTGCGGATTAAATCATAAGATTAGAAGTGGACCCTTGCAGTTTGAAATTAAACCTATATTATTGTATTGCTAGATTGTGTTATATAAGATTTTACAGGAAAAAAAATTGCATGGGTAAGTCATTGTGAATAATTGGTACTCTTTTATAGGGCCAATTTACACATAGCAGCCAAATTATTATTAGTTACACCTGCTTCCTTAATTCTCATCAGTGCAAATCTTACCTGGGTCAGAATTTACTTGCCTGACTGGGCACATGCCTACATGAATTTCCTTACTTGCAGTGGTTTGCTGCTGAATTTTGTGTTGATGGAGTTATACTGGAATAATTGTTCCATTTATAGCATCCCTTGGTAGTTTGAGTCTGTGGGAGTCTGTCACAGCTGACATTTATCCCTGAAAGGGTTAATTCCAGTGTGAGAACCATGTCAGCCATATCAAAGTCCACCTGTATTCCAAAATATAAGTTGCTTGAATGCTCTATCTGCCTTCAGAGGAGGAGGGGAAGTTGTTGTTTCACTTAACAGTGAAGAAACATCAGCTTGCCTAACTTACAAGCTTTATTCATCTATGCTTCTGTGTTCCATATGCATGAAAGTATCAAAAATCCAAAATTGAAGACATGTAACTTGGCAGTTATAGGCGTATATCAGTTACACAGAAGTCAGTCTTACAGCTATGAAAAAAGCTGTTGTAGTGGATGCAGTGACTGACTAAAATTCTGGATAACAGAGTTCAAGTCCCCACTTAGTCATGGAAACTGACTGGGGTAAAACTTGTAAAAACACTCCTTAAATATCTCACCTTGAAAACCCTGTTAGGGTCGCTGTAAGTTGGTTCTGACTTGACAGCACAGAGTAGCAAACAAATGTTAAATCACGTAAAGCCATCCAAAATTTTTATAACTCTGAAAAGCTGCCAACAGAAGTACATTCAAAATACATAAAGCAGAAATCAAGCTGTAGGCAGAACTTAATATTCCATTCAGCATACTAGAGCATGAAAAGTACAGTAGAAATATACCTAAGAACAAAAAAGAACAAGGAGAATGTTATAATTACATTCTAAAAATACAGGTGCCTATAGGCTTAAAAGACGTACAAAAAACACTCAGAGTGCACCTCTACGCCTCTAAGATAAAGATTACAATTTCATAATTGTTACAGCTTTAAGCATTGTAGCTTTGAGCAGCTGCCACCTTTAGCATATCCAGGCATACATGAAAAACATGGTTTTCTCACCCAACCCATTGCCATTTGCCAGTTTGAGTCTGTGGAGGGAAATCCGTGATCTTGTCCGTATGCGTTTCTTGCTTCTGATAATGAAGTCTGCTGCAGTGTAGCCTCCTGTTTTCTCACTAACAGTTTCACTATGTATACTTACAGTATCTGGATGCTTTGATTTATTAAGGAAGACAAGTAGGTATCTGCAGCTCAGCTGGCAATCACAGTCCTGGGTAAAATAGAAATTCCAGTGGAACTGGCCTGCACTGCAGAAAATGTTGATATAGTTGTTTTGAAAACAAGAAGACTAATTTTGCCATTGAAGCAGGGATACAGTGTTTTTCTGTCAGTTTCATTTTAGTAGAGAAACATATGCAAACACTATTGGATTAAAATGTGCTTTCTTAATCTTGTGGAACCAGTAGCTTTTACATGTGTTTTGCCAGTCTGGTGAAAATAGCTGTATGCCCAGAAGTAACTGTTAACAGGCATACAATTGCTATTCAAACCTCCATTTTATGATCACATCTCACAATTCCAAGGTTATAATTCTAATACCCCCTTAATCATTTAAACATTTTATTTATACAAAATTTCAAACTTAGACAAGCTAACTTTATTTATAGTTTTCATGTTTCTAGGCCACACTTTCTTTAAAGTCTAAAGAATCCAGACCTATGAACTATTAATTTTTATTCCTTACCGCTTCCCATTTTCTGATTAAATAATATCTTTCTGTCCTGGTTTTGACTTACCTGGGAGAAAAGGTCCAGTTGTTTTTTCTCTCTCTCTCCCAAAGAGAAAAATAGGCAGATGTGGGAGGTAGAAAGATGATCTGAGGGGCAGGGTTAAGCCTGAGCCAGACTTGTGTCCACTTTTTCTTTGCTCTAACTTGAGCCTTATGGAGATTCTTTTGGATTTCTTAAAATATCAAATGGAAAGAAAGATATATGCAACTAGCATTACATCATATGAGCCTTAGTAAGTCTAGTTGAGCATCAATCAAAAAATCTTCCGTCTGTTTGATGGCATATAATTCCTTCCTTGATTGTTTCATCAAACTCTATCTTCTCAAAAAAATGGAGTATCACCTTTCATGAAGATGAAGACTGTGTATGCTTTGTTTCACTGGTGATGCAATGTGGGTTATGTTTCCTAAACTTGGATCCAACATGAGTGATGCAACTTTTGAAGCAAGGATTGTGTTAAATTAGGATTCGAGAAGTGTGATGCAGTGAAATTTGTTTTCTCTTGATGTATCGGGATAGTGAGAAGATTCTGTGATGTCATGAAATGTTGGGTTGTGAATAGTATGCTGAAAAATAAAATATCATCTTAACTCTTTCCTTTTTCCCTCCTCCCTTCCAGGGAAGCCGAGACAACATGAGTGTGATATTGATCTGTTTTCCAAATGCACCAAAGGTATTGCCAGAGGCAGTGAAGAGAGAGGCAGAGCTGGACAAGTTCCTGGAAAGCAGAGTAGAAGGTGGCTCTTTTAAAAAAAATTAAGTAACTTCATTTTTAAAGCAAAGCCCAATGGTCAAGTAAAATGTCTGTGGGTTTTTAATGAAATCCTTAAGTGCCATAGGATGTTTAACAATACGTACATTTAATATAAAAGTACTTCCATTGTTTTTTATGTATGTGCGGTATGTCCTGTTAAAGTAGCTGTCCTTGACTGTTTACAAACAATGGCTGAAATCCTGTTGCTTAGCATAGTAAAATAAGTAGAGTAAGGCCATTGAATCAGAAGAGATTTGATGGATCAACTCCTCTGTAACTTCCATTGATTCAAATGAGCCTGATACAGTTTTGACTGTGCAAGTCTCAACTAAATTAGGCCTATTTGGATTAATGGAATGTATGGAGAAGTTGACTCACCAAATCCCCACTGATGCAGTGGGTCTACTTTAGTGTGACTTAACTATATTAACCAACAGGATTTCAGCCAATAAGAGAAATATTGGACATTTATGAAGGGACCATTACCAGCAATAAATTTAGGCTGTAAATTATATTCTGTTCTAGGTTATTAAGAAGGCAATTTATATTTAAGGAAGTAGTTTATCAGCATCTGGTGCACTATGTAATAGCAACTTTGAAAGAGATCTGAACATAGAGCAGCCTTCCCTAATGTAGCACTCTGTGGATGTTTTGGACTACTGCAGACAGCAGTCTAGAGGGAATGAGGTTGGAGAAAGACTTCCATACACAGTTTTGAACTAGTAAATTGTGTTTTGTACAGTTTTGTGCCATAAAGTTCAAAACTAGTCTGTTTAAAAACTAGGTTGTAAAAAACTTTGTTGCAGTCTGTATATATAGTATTCTAACTATATGCCATGCAGTCCTGTGCATGATTACACAGTAATCCCAGTACATTCAGTAGGGCATACACAGATTGCAAGTTGTAAGTAGCATCGCTTTCATTTGTAGACATGTTGTGAATGTTAATTTATACAAATTCACAAGATTTTTTAAAAACAGGTGTACATTGGTAATACAATCTAATGGACCCAAGCTTAAGGTGATCTCATTTTGTGTCTTTGAAGTCATCAACATTGTGAATGAATGCAAGATAGTTTTGTGTCTTCTGTATTAGTGATTCGATTAAACATCACATGCACTTTATGTCATAGACTCATAGAATAATGGAGTTGGAAGGGGCCTATAAGGACAAATGAGCCCAATCCCCTGGTCAATGCAAGAATCCAAATGAAAGTATATTTGGCAGATAGTTATCTTATTTTCTCTTGAATGTCTCCAGCACTGGAGCATTCACCACCTCCTGAGGTAACTAGTTTCTTTGTCATTCTGTTCTAACAGAATTTTTTCCCCTGATATTTTGATCAAAATCCGGCTTCCTGTAACTTGAGTCCATTATTACATGTCCTGCACTCTGGATTGATTAAGAACAGATCCTGACCCTTCTGTCTGTGACAATCTTTCATTTGAAGAGTGCACTTGGATCTCCCCCCAGTCTTCTCTTCTCAAGGCTAAACATGCCCAATTCTTCCAATCTTTCCTCACTGGGCTTGGTTTCCAGTCCTCTGACCATCCTTGTTGCTCTCTTCCAATTTGTCTAAATCCTTGGGTAATGACTTCCAATAAGCATAAGAGGTGCCTTGTCTCACATTGGCTCATTGGCCTGCTCAGTTTGATCTCCCTTGGTGTGTTGGCTGTAAGTCTGAGGTCCAGATCTAGCCTGTCATGAACTCCGTAAGAGAGTTAGGTAGTGCACTCACTGTTTTGACTTGTTACCTTTCTCCTTGGTAGGGAGGTCATAACAGCAAGTTACTGTATCTTACAGACAGATTGTAAGAGGTAAAGATGAGAATGTACGTGAGGTAAATTTAGCACTTGAAGGCATTATACAAATGCTTTGTAATACTAATTAAGTGACTTTTAATAGTAGTAATTGTCATACTTATTGTAGCACATGTTCCTTATTGTGGGGGAAGTGCTGATCATGGCTGCTCATATTTTATGTTTAGAAGTATTATTCTTTGCGTTTATGAAATGTTGACATAATAGTAGACAGGATGCAGTGGTTAAAAACTGGCTAAAACATTTCTGTGCAGCAATTGTGGGGAAGTATTTATCCATATTTAGTAGATAAAATGTAGATGAGCGTTGGAAAGCAACATATTTTTCTTTTGACAGTTTTGTTTCCCGTGGAACTTTAAAATTTTATGTTCAGTGTCCCAAGATTCAGTAGGTTGCATGTAAAGTGTAGCAAAATCTCTTCAGAATATTATTCCTATTGCAGCTTTGGGAAAGTTATTTCAAAGTGTCCTCTGGCGTATTTGATAGGGTATTGGGACTGCTGCCAGAAAGTAAAATGAGCTGTCTTCCTCTGTATATGAGTGGAAGGCGTTTGAATGCATGAGTTTCTTTGGTTATCAGCCAATATGATTGAAACCATCTACATGTGAAATGAAACAACATCCATATTAATACATGTGATCTAATCTTTCACTTCTTATTTTTCTGGGAGCAGAATTGATTAGAGTTCATCTATGTAAATTGGGTAGCTGTGAGCCGAAATTACTGTATGAGCATATTGCCGTATTTTGAAAAAAATCTTTTGTAGTCTCAAAGAAACCCTGAATTTGGGAGATTTGGAGGAAAGAACTGCCTGTTATTGACATATATTATTTATCTCCATGTTTCTGGCATCAATTGTTTTTAAACTTCCTAAATCTGGAAGATTTTAGAAAGTAATTTAGGCTAAGCATTATGGGACAGCTTTGGAGATGAAATTGTATCGAAACCTCAAGTGTGCATGGAAGTCTGCATTTCCTCTTTCATAGTGTACATAGTTTCTTTTGTTTAATAGCAGTCCTCTCTTTAATGTGATTTATGAGTGACAGAACTCATTCAGTGAGTGAATGGAATCATTCAGGAATAACAGTAGTTTACATTGGCTTAAAATGCTAGGATTTTAGGTTTTTTTCAGTTTGAAGATGCTAAGTTGGGCATTTTTATTTTATAGTGATCATCTAAAAATGTAGAAACAATTTTACTGCTTCCATTGAAACAAAAAGTACGAGTAGGCAGAGTCCCTTTGCTCAGAATGACTGAGTTAGATAGTTTTCATCTGATGTTCTAATAGCGATATTCTTAATTTTGTCATTGAGAGTTCTTTATTGTTGCAGAAAGCTTATGTTGTAGATTGTGCTAGAAGGACATAAAGCAAAATATTTTTTATTTGTCCTCTTTCTGTATCCATGTTATACAACTTTTCAGCTATAATTGTATAGTAAATAATCTCTGCCACCTGCATGAACCAGTACAAATTACAGATGTTGAAAAGTTTATTCCAAAATTATGTTTTTGTGTTACTTTATTAGCAAACCCAGTTCTTCAAAATAAAGCCCCTCAGATGTTCATTACTAAAGTTACAATCCTCATGCTGCTCCACCAATACTAACTTTGTTCATATTGGTTGAGCTTACAGAGATGCAGCATCTCAGGGATGGGGCAAGAACGGCATGTTTTGAAATAAATATTGTTAATGCAAATATGTTGAATAATATCTCTGCTTTTAAGTGTCTGTATTTCAAAGAATTCACTGAGTTTGAATAATTATCTTGTTTAAAGCACAAACATTTAAGATTTAGATTTAGCTGGCTTCTTCCATTTGGAAGCAGGGATACACAGATCTTTGAATGCAAGTTCATTCTTCCACAGCTGTAAAAACACAGAATATTTCTCAAACATTTAGAGGCACACCTCCTGATTGATAAAAGGAATTATGTTAAACTGAGCAACATATCGACACTTTTCATCTGTCTTTCATTGGTCTTCCTACATTACAGTTTGAGAAAGTGTTTTAAGTTGTCAAGAAGGACAAGTGCTGTGCTTTGGTAAAAGGTATCGGAACCTGAAGGACATTAGGTTGGGTTCATCCTGCCATGAATTATATGTGAATTGTATTTACATTCCTATAGAGTATAAATGCATTTTAGTGGAGAATGTATCTCAAATGTACTGACACTTTAGGTTATAGTATTGTGTAGTTCAGGTAAATTTAAATCCTTTTATTTTTGTACAAAAGATCACATAGCACTAGAGTGATGTAGACTATACTAGATGTTCACAATTCAAAATAAAAACACTTGACAAAACAAATCTGAGATCTTTGCTCTTTATTCAGTTTTCAATATTAGAAATCTTTGTCCTCAGTAGTAGATGGTAAAATAAAAAATATGGCCCTAGCAGTCTCCAAAAAAGCTGATTCCAAATACTGTGCAAGATCCAGATAATTGTACAGTAAACACTGTGATCCCAAGGGGAAATGTTTTTGTCCAGTACTGCAGTGTGTCCCTGAAATGGGAGGAGGGCTTTTCACAAGGGAAGGAAAGTCAACTATTTCACTGGACTAGTGTAAACCCTTGTACATGGCTAAAGCAGCTCTCCAGATCTTGTCCACTATTATCTATCTTTTGGGTGATTAGATATAGCATTAACTTAAATATCTTAGAACTGCAGTGTAGTATGCAAACTAGCTAGATGGTTTCATTTGCTGTTCTGTTCTTTCAAATGGTTTTCATGTAACTTATTGGTATAGATTGGAGAAGTTTTATTTGGTAATACTTTATTTATTTTGGTAGAACATTGACATTATTTACCTATTTTGGGAAAACTGCTTCTCATTGAAACATGAAATATTTTCAAATGTTCATGCCAAATGCAAAAATCTCCTCTTGACTTATTGCACTCATAGTTATAAAACAGCCATTTTGCCATATAGGATACCTGCCATATTGCAAGATAAAATGTTTGATCCATTTAATAGGATCTTGGGTAAGCTGGAAAAGATTTTTTTTTACTAACTTACTGTGGCTCCCTGGGAGAGCAACAGTAACTTAATGGAGACAGTACTGGGCTAAATGGATGAATATTCTGATTTATTTGTTCTGTAACAAATTCTTACATCCAAATATTTCAAATCCTACTTACTTTGGTATTGTCTTTCTGAAATGAGTTTCCATAACCATTCAAACAGTTGGTGGTGTAAAACACTTTTGCAACCTAACATTTAGTTTTATGTTCAGATACTGAGATTTTAAAATCTTGGCATCTGCAGTTCTGTGAATAGACTTTATTAATGACATGAAGATGGACTGAGAATTTTGGCAAAGCATTCAGTATTCAAATAATGCTTAAATTTGAATAGTGGAATTGTAGCTAAAGTCAGATTCTTGGTTTGTCAATTTACTGTGTAATACATCTGTTATTTAAAACTTTTAATTCAAGATGGTATGCTTTGTACTATGTCAATTATATAATATTTTTGGTTTATAAAATGATCTTAAATTGCTATTAGTGCAGTAGTGAAAACTACAGTGGTGAATTGTTCCTAGTTAATGTGTTATGGTTGCATTCATTATTACATATCAACTCAAGCAATTGGTGTTGCAGCATGGGATACAAGCAATTTAGCACTGCAGTTTATACCATTGCGCTTAAGCTGGCATAACAACCTAATATGATTCTGGTCAGTGAGTATGTAATTTTTATTGTCTACAATGGCATTTCTTTCTGAAATCTGTTTACAAAAAAATAATTTCCTTTCAGACAATTAGAGTAGGCTTTTTCAGCTCTTTTGTAGGACTATGAAACATCAAAGCGTTGACATTTTGAAATAATGATTTAGTTAAATTTGTGTCTTTTAGTCTTACAATAGTTTGAATATTGAAGCGTTTACTGGAAATTTGATGTTACAGAAAGGGTTAATTTTTTCTTACTCCACTATTTTAATCAGGTACTAAAGTCACTGAAAAGACAATACTCAATATGTAAAAACTGAGTCTGTCTTTCATAAAACTAAATGTTAGTCTTTTCAATTGCATTTGGATTGATTTTAAAAGATAGTACTTCTGATTCCCAGAGATCATAAAGAAGCAGGGTGAAGGAGTGCCAGACTTAGTCCACGTCATGCGTACATTACAAACCGAAAGCATCCCAAACCTTCCGCCAGGGGGTGAATTGGCGAGCAAGTGAGTTTACATCACTGTAAATATGCATTTGATTTTGGATTGACTTGTACTCTTCCTAAGGCTACTCTTAAAATGAGGGATGTGGGAAGAAAAGCTAAAATCTTTTGGGAGGATCTTTCCAGCATTCAGCTTCACCATGTTTCAAACTGGTGATTATGTTAAATAAAGAAATGAAGACGTGCAATATGCTGTGGCTGTCTGGGAGGTGGATGCTAAAATTAAAAGTAAACCTGTGTCATACCACAGCTGAAGAAAGGTCAGGCTATTTTTAAGAGTGGCCTCATCTTTTAACAGAAGTTCTTAATATTAACCTCTTTTATGTCATGAAGTGTAAAATTGTGATGCTTTTGATTTCTGGGATTATGTGGTTTTTCCTAAATTAACCATAATTCTTATTTTTTACATTTAATACTGATTCTGCATTGTTAGATTTCCACCATACCTGTTGCCTTTATTTCTAACACATAAATATAATTAAAATAAATAAATCAAAACAAGAAGGTTTTGGCAGCTCAGAGACTAACAGAATTAAGTTACTATTGCATTTTAGGAGGAGGATAGTAATCCACAAAAGCTCACAGAAAAATAACTTTTTTTTAAAGTTTTTAAGATGCCACTACTGTTTTGTTTTTATTTTGGATTTATGTGCTGAAATGGGCTGACATGGTTATTTCTGAAATCAGCTACCTTTACTTACAGATATTTTAGTTTTAGATGTTGCTATGTGGTGAGATTTGGAGTGTTACAATTACCTTTGAAGTGACTTGAAAAGGTTAATCTGGATTTTTGTATGTGGAAATTTCCTAGCTAGTTGACTTCAGAGTAATATCCCAGATTTCCTTCTCTTTGGGAATTTCCTTTCCATAGTAATTGGAATTGAAATTCATATTTTAGATACAGCTGGCTCCAGTGGGATTTTCAAAAGTCAGGGGAAGGGCAACAGGGACTGGTTGCACTACTTTTTGATTTATAACCCTCTGATTTAACTAGTATTCTCAGCTTGAGCAGTTTGCTTAAAAAGATAAGCAGTATCATTAGTTAGTATAAGTAAATAAATAAGAACTGCAGTATGGAATATACTCCATGGTCATAATTTCATAGGTAGAAATTTTAGAGAGGGTGGCTGACCAGGTTCCCCCCCCCAGTATATTTTAAATACCAGGTGAAGGCTTCTTTGAAGTAGATTCCCAAGTAGTTCCTTTAGTTTCATTTAATTTACTGCACAAAAGGTAACTGTTTAAATACTTTTTCTGTTGAATAATGGTTACTTTTGTCCGTGTTTATATAACAGTATTGTTTTTTGGTACTTTTTTTCTCCATTATCAACAATGACCGTATTTTTCTGTGTCTAAGATGCCCCCATGTATAAGACACCCCCCACTTTTCTAACCTAAAATTAAGAAATCAATATTTTAAACATAGAACACATTTTTATTTAGTAATTAGGTAACCTTTCCACTCCGGGAGGCAGTGGAAGACAGGAGGGCCTGGCGTGCTCTTGTCCATGAGGTCACGAAGAGTCGGACACAACTTAATGACTAAACAACAATAAAATATTTACATACCAATACTCTCATATTATGCATCACACTTTAACTTTATTCAGCCTCTGGGCTCAGAATGCTCGGACATTAGGTGTCTCTGTTGCATCTAAGCACTGTTGTAATTGGTTTGTTCAGCATCAGCTGATGTCAGTTACATAAGGCTTGTGACTGAAGGAAGCTAAGCCTTGTGATTGAAGGAAGCTTGTTTGCAGAGGCAAGGTATGGGCCATTTTGTTCTCTCCTCAGCTTGCTTCTGTGTATAAGACAACCCGCAATTTTTAGGCTAACAATTTTAGAAAAAGGTAGCATCTTATACATGGAAAATACAGTATTTTATGGAATTTTGGTAAGCCACCTTGAATGCTTTTTGACAGAAAGGTCATATATGATTTGGATGAATAAATAGGCAACCTGGAGTTCACAATAAATAATGCTGAATTATAACATTATTTTTGCAAAGCATGTCAATATTAAGAATCTGTTTTTACATTGTTGTTGCCCTTGAGGAAATGCTGGTGTTTGAACCCTTTCTTTTCTTTACTTGCTTTAGACGGAGTGTGATTGAAGCAGTTTATAACAGACTGAACCCATATAGAAATGATGATGCTGTGAGTATTGATGTATTCAAGCAGCCTGACTTTCTGCTCATACTAACTTGTGTAGTTAATTGAAATGTTATAAGTCAGGGGTGTGAAAATATTTGCAGCAAGAAGCATTTTGCTACATGCGAGTAGTGATATGTCTTTGGCTCTTGAATGTGATATTGTCATGCCATAGTGTACCTCAGAATAAATTCAGGTTAATAGGTCCATTTTTACTGTGAGTTTAGCACTTGAGAAACATGCCACTGGCTTGCCTCTGTTAAATCATTGGAAGATGACTCAGCTTTTTGGCTTAATACCTTCTACAGGCAATGCTTACTACCCTGACAACATTTTTTCACTTTTTAAACTGCATAATCGCTTATCAAATTGTATACTATGTACATTGCCCTGTGACTAATACACTTGAACGTCTTAATATATTTATTTTTATTTCATTTATTGTTTTTCTTTCACAGTTTTCCTGTTTGTTTCTGTGCTTCCTCTTTTCTTTTTATTCGGCATCCTTATTTGTAACATGTTTATGCACTTTATTGATGTGTGCTCTAGGCACAACACACTCTCTCTCTCTCTGCCCTTTTATCTTCCGGAAAGCTTCTCTTTGAGAGTTAAAGGAAGGCAGTAGAAACGTTCTTAGCTCTGCTTTCATGCATACAGATGATGGCAATTGAAAAGAATTGCTATCCTTGTTTTCAGCTCAGTGCTTATTCTAGGTACAGTAGTAGAGGAGACAAGTTGAAAAGTTTCCAGTTACCGAAAACGAATATCCTTTTATTTGTGGCTTATACATGTGGCCATGCCTTACCAAATGTCTTTTAAAATATGATTTAGAATAACATAGTTTACTGCAATGTATTCAATAACATATTAGTATAATTCTATATCGGGAATGTTTGTGTTTGCCATGGAATTGTTCGTTGTCATGGCACAAGCTGGAACATTTTGCTAAGACTTATGAGATGTTCAAAAAGGAAAAGAATGAATACAGCAGGAGGAGGAGGAGGTTTAGGGTGGGGCAGGAAACCCTGAGGAGGAAAATCATGCTCGGAAGGATTGTGTAGAATGTGCCCCCTTCATTCATAAAGCAAAAGGAATATTCATGTACAGTATTCATTACAGTCCTTCATGGAGGAGTCAGGTTGGATAAACTAAACTTGATCCTCACTAAGAGTCCTACAGAACTTTATAGACCTCTTGGGCAAAAATCAGAACCCTATGTTTGTCACAACTGGTATTTATCCCAGTTAATGGTTAATTCCAGAATGAAATCAAACTATCACAAACAATCATTGAAAATCATCTGAGTATCAAGGTATAAGTCTTTGTTGCAATAAATCCAGGCAACATTAAGTTGTCTACTTTTACAAGCTTTATTTATCTATATTACATATGTTCCCTATGCACAAAATACCTCAAAATCGTTGTAAATTACAAAAGTGTTATAGTTGTGAAGAAAACTTTAGCCTCATGGTGCAGTGGTTAAAACATAAGAAGAGCCCTGCTGGATCAGACCAAGGGCCCATCAAATCCAACTTCCTGTATCTCATAGTGGCCCCCCACGATGCCTCTGGGAGCACACAAGATAGCTAGATACCTGTCTCCTGATACCCCTCCCCTGGGTCTGGCATTTTGAAGCACAGTACTTTTCTTTTAAGCCTGGTTAAACTGCGGTATTGCATTCAAGGCTCTGCTCACCAGCTGAGTTCAATCCCAGCAGGCTCAGGTAGCAGACTCAAGGTTGACTCAGCCTTCCATCCTTCTGAGGTCAGTAAATAGAGTACCCACCTCACTGGGAGGTCTCCTGATACCCCTCCCCTGGGTCTGGCATTTTGAAGCACAGTACTTTTCTTTTAAGCCTGGTTAAACTGCGGTATTGCATTCAAGGCTCTGCTCACCAGCTGAGTTCAATCCCAGCAGGCTCAGGTAGCAGACTCAAGGTTGACTCAGCCTTCCATCCTTCTGAGGTCAGTAAATAGAGTACCCACCTCACTGGGAGGGTCAGTAAATGGAGTACCCACCTCACTGGGAGGAGGCAGTGTGTAGCCTGCATTATTAAATTGTAAACCGCCTAGAGAGTGCTTTAAGCACTGTGGGGCAATGTGTAAATAGCACACTTTGCTTTGCAGGCACAAATACCTAAAAATACATCCCTCCTTGCAACGTGTAAAAAGTTGCCGATGTTAAAACTTAAATTGTAGGCAGAACATAAATTATGTTTGAATCCATAATACAGAAGGAAAAGTACAATAAAATATCAAAAATAATGTTTTAAGTTAAATTCTAAAAATACAAAGTTTATAGCTTCAAAAGTCATAATTAAAAGACAGAATGCATCTCATAAAATGTCTAAATTGTTAAAAAATTATGTATAAAGTAAAAAAAGAGCATTTTTAGCTTTTAGGCATATTAAGAACACACGCAAAAAAATAATACATTTTCTAAATGCTCACTCAAGTCATCTGCCAGTTAAAATCTATGGAGGAAAATCCATGATATTTGTGTGTTGCCTCTGTGACCAGCTGCTCTGCTATATACAGTGGTGCCTCGTATAACGAGTGCCCCGTTTAACGACGAATTCGCATAGCGATGGCAAAAATGCCATCGCTTTTGCGATTGTATAACGAAGGTGCCTATGGGGAAAAATCGCTTTGCGATGTTTTCCCCATAGGCACCATTTTCCCCCAGCTGAGTGGCGGGAGCCTCCAAAGGAGCGCTCCTGCCACTCAGCTGGGGGAAAATGCGCAGCGTTTCGCGCCCTCCCCTCGCTTACTGAGGGCGCGAAAATGGCTGCCGCTATGGAGGAAACTTCACTGAACGATAAGTTTAGGGCCCATTGGAACGCATTAAACAATGTTTAATGCATTCCAATGGGTTTTTATGTTCCGTTTAGTGATGTTTTCACATAGCGAGGGTTAATCCGGAATGGATTAACCTCGCTATGCGAGGCACCACTGTATGTGGAATTAAGCAAGCTTCTTTCAACCTCAGCTCTTGCCATCAGCAATATGGGTAAAAAGTGGCAATGACTACATAAAGTGCTCTGAAAAGCAGTAACTTAATATTTTAAAAGCAACAACCAAAAATGCAGTTTAT